CCTCCTCTCAGTGCAGGTAACACCTCACGGTCGGTGACTTGTACACAGTAAGTCATCTCATCAGTGAAGCGTGATAGGAAGCTCTTTAGGGACTCCCCATGTGCCTGTCTCATATCTTGGAGACGTTGGATGGGAGCCTCTCTCTTTTTGCTCACAGCGAACCTCTTTAAGAAGGTGGTCTTGAATTCGGGCCAACTTCTTATGCTCTCAGGTGATAACCTACTATACCAAATTTCAGCTGCTCCGCTAAGTGTTAAGTGGAAAGCTCTGCATTTCACAGCTGGGGTAGCGTCCCTTAGGCTCATGTGAGTTTTGTAAGCATTCAGGTGCTTCTCTAGGTCGCCTCTTCCATCATACTTTGGTATCTTAGGCGTAACGTAGTGGTTCAGGACCTGGGCACTCCTTAGTTCCCTTGAGAATGGCAGGTTTTCATCATCATCGTCCAAGTCACAGGACCTCTGCTGCTCATCTGAATCATTTTCATCGGCCTCATACCTTGGTGGTTGGTGAGAGGTGCCGGGATGGTTCCTAGCCTCCTCTTTCCTCCTTTGGCGCCTATTTATAGGCGGTGCAGTACGATGGGCATTTTCATGCCTTTCTTCCGGCTGTTAAGATATTGGAGGTGGAGACTGTGGCCTTGTCCAAGGCTCGCGAGGCTGTTGTTGCCTAGGCCTTAGTTCTGCAGGGCTGATTTTGTCAAATACACTACCTGACCTCCTATGTCTTCGCTCTTGCTCATATGGAGGTGGGAAGTTATCATGGTTCAAAGGGACCTCAGTGGGTCGTCCAGAAGCGTAGTTGGAAGAAACATCAACTTCCACTTTTCTTTCAAATGGGCTTCTACCTCGGCTATAGTCCGGCGAGGCAACCCTTTGATTTTGAACTTCATCTTCTTGCTAGTAGTGCCCTTGGGGGGCATATGGAGGAATAGGAAAGCCTCCCTGACCTTGCATTTGGGCCATGAGTTCCCTCATAGTCATGTTCTGGCTCACAATGTCCCTCATGTTGGCTGTTATGGCATCCATTTCTCTTGATAGCCGGGCTGTCACTCACATTCCACCTCTTCTATGGTGGTGGCGGAGTCGGTGCCGAGCTGCTGGGGCAGCTGCTGGAGGGGGCACATCTGCATTTTCTCTTACGCTCATGGGGGCTGTATCTTCATTTGAACTCATTTTCTTTGTTTGACCTTCAAATTTTTGCTAAGTTTTGGGGCTTCCTCTTGTTCTTTTTCAAGAACAAATCCTTTTTCAAGGGGGATGCCCAAATGTTCCTCTTCAATAAGCTTTCACCACAAGGTTGTTCGTGGTTATTGTATAGATTCCCACAAACGGTGACAATCTATTGACCCTAAAAAATGTTGCCAACAGATGTCGGACCCACCCGCGCACACGTGAGCGAAAGTCCAACACGTTAAGACACGTGGACGATCTAAAACGGACAAATCAAGGGCGTGAGAGTAGCTCAACGGCACGGGACGAGAACGTTCAGAATCCGACGGGATGTTCGTAGACCGATTGTACAATAATTACCAATCGATGTTTGTTAATGTGTATCTACATATGTATGAACTCGTTTGTGTTGCAAGATAATAAGAAAGAGAAAGTTGAGTAAAATATGGTTTCTTGTATTGATTCTTCCATTAGTTTTTGTTTGGGGTATATGGGGGAGTATTTATAGTGTCACAAGTTAGATCGTGGCCTTTGGTTCGGGGTACACGTGGCCTCATCCGGTTAATTTACATGTCAAATTATAGGCATTAACCATACCTAGCCTGCTATACATTTATTGATTGGCAGAGCTGCCTCTACTAGTGATAAGACTTAACATTTACACTCATGACAAACGTCCTATCAATCATTCAAGTAAGATCTTTGTGCAAAGGATCTCTCGGGAGAAGTGTCTATGGAAGATGCTGCTTTGTGATTTGGAGGCTGCTACCTCGGCTACAGAGCTTCGGCCAACAGGGCCTCGTCTACCTTCAAAGGGCCTCGGCATATGGGTTTCGGAAGCTCCTCAAGAGGCAATGATAGATGGGCCTCGGTATATATGGGCCTAGGCTTTTGTGGACCTCGATTTGTGGGCCTCGGCTATTCAAATCACCTCGACTTGAGTGCCACGTAATTCAGCATGAGTTGGCTGTGGGCCCCGGTTGGTTGTTCAAGTGTGCAAACACGTAACAATGGTTCTCCAGTATTTGCATTTTTATCAATTCCTTCATTGCTGCCTCGACCAGTTCAGTGTTCATCAGCATATTAGCCTCAGTATGTACGAGATGGCCTAAGAATATCAATAGCTTATTCAAGAATTATATTAGATGACCATAAATAGGAAGTTCTTATAATGCCATTCGGTCTATTGGTTAACTTCTTGTTGAACAACCTCATCTATAATTCGTAAGATAGTGGACACATTTGTGTACTAAATTTTGGTCATGTACGCTTCCACTCACATGAATGACAAGTGTTTAATTTTCATAAATCGATGATTGTGAGACATGAATTGAGGTCATTTGCATGATCTAATAAGATGTTGACCTATCTCATATAAAGTTTAAGATCTTACAAAGTGATAACATTCATTTAAAAATTTAATCTTCAACATCCCATCACGTGCATGGTTTTCGTAAATGGGTGATCGTGAGACTTGAACCGAAGTCCTTAGCCTACTATGAAACAATACTCAATCATCTCATCTAAAAGTTCAATATATAGTACTTAATGATCTCGTTTAAAAGTTCAATATGTTAGAAAAAGGTTATACTCAGTTAAATGCTACTTCGTTGAGATTTACCTATGTTCTTCAAATGGAATGATCCACACACGTATTTATCATTATTATGGTTGCCTGGAGAAAGTTTATAGCTATTCTTTCCTCTTCACAAGTCGATGTCTACTTTTACATCTTTTGTTTCACTCCCTAGTAAAATCTCAAGATTCTTAATAAAATGCTACGAGCAATGACCAAATAAAACAGAAAATGCTTCCTGAGTTGCAATGGCTCTTTACTTTGCATATCTGGCTTTTCTTCGGAACTTGTCCTTCATTTTCGTTTTCAGTACTTGAGAAAAACTTTCATAGAAGAGAGTATTAGATAACAAGCATCCAGAAAATATAATGAAAATAAATCATATTCATGTAACATATTTTAATGTTAAAATTTGTCTGCATGTTGTTTGTGTGTGTGTCTGTGTGTTTATTTTATTTTATTTTTTGGGTTATGTTTGATACATCTGAATTTAAAGATGGCCGTGTGGCACACATATTTGGATGATGGAACATTGATAACTAAGCCCTTGTTCGGGCTTCATTTTAATGTATTTTGGAATAGTGATTTTTTGAAAAATATATATTTAAAAAAAAAAAGAAAAAAGGTTTTGAGTCGTGTAATATTATTTTATTGAAAAATGCTATTTTATTTTATTTTATTTTTTGGGTTATGTTTGATACATCTGAATTTAAAGATGGCCGTGTGGCACACATATTTGGATGATGGAACATTGATAACTAAGCCCTTGTTCGGGCTTCATTTTAATGTATTTTGAAATAGTGATTTTTTGAAAAATATATATTTAAAAAAAAAAAGAAAAAAGGTTTTGAGTCGTGTAATATTATTTTATTGAAAAATGTGCAATTGAAAAAAAGAAAGAGACAAATCCATTAAAATTAAAATGGAGTCCAAACATGCACTAACCCCGTTTGGTACCCATTTTTTTCAAAATGCATTTTTCTCTCTCTTTATTTCAACCACACATTCTCTATTAAAATAATATTACACGTAAATCAAAAACTTTTCTTTATTTTTCAACGACACATTTCCCATCAATTTACTATTCAAAAATGTATTTTTACATAAAAATGTTTCATTTTCAATGGCTCAAACTTTTATAACGGTTAGAAATGGTATTAGATCGTGTAAAATAATTGGGTCCAAGTCCAACGATGACTCATTTAAAAAATTGTGCATGTATCCAAGTTTTAATTAAATAAATAACAAATCCATTCGAATCTTTCGGATACTTACCTTCGACCAACTATTATTTAAGCTCTTCAAACTTCTGATCACATTTGTCTGTCCATAAAAACTTTATTTCCTTTTTAATTAGCTGAGCCATTAATCATATGATCTTAGAGTTTCAATGAATATCTGATAATAGCCAGCTAACTTCAAGAAAATTCAGACTTCGTCGGCGTTAGTAACTTAGTTCAAATTAGTCGTTACTTCAATTTTAGTCAAGTCAACTTCGTTTCTTTGAGGAGTAGTCACGTGTAAAGAACTCCCTCCCTCTCTCTTTTTTTTTTTTACTTTTTTATTTTCTTTCCTTTTTTATAGCTTTTATCAACTTTTTAATTATATATCAACTTTTATTAAAATCCAATTGAAAATTTTATTGTTGGGGTTTAGTTGAAGGATAATTAGCACAAAATGTCATTACCTTTCATTTTTTGACATTTTTACCTTTTATTGCGAAAAATGTCATTTTTCAATAAAAAAAATATAAAATGACAAATATAGCCTTCTATTTAAATAAATAAAAAAAGAGAAGAATTTTAAAAAAAATATATTGCAATTATACTCCCCAATTTTTTAAAAAATCACAAATGAATCCAAATAAATTTTTAACTTGATAATTAACACAAAATATTCATATCTTTTAATATTGTTATGCAAAAACGTCCATACCTTTTATTTTTTGACATTTTCACCATTATTTTCACATTTGATTGTGAAAATTATTATTTTCATCCATTTTTTTAATTAAAAACTGTAAAATAATGAATATACCCTCCTATTTAAATAAAATAAAAATAAAAATAATAAAGATTAAATTATAATTATACTCCCAAATTTTTAAAAAAAGTACAAATATATAATTTAAAATTTAAAAAAATCACTTTCTTTTTTTAAAAGAATACTCTTTAAAAAAAAAAATCTATCAACTTTGTAATAAAATCCAATAGAAAATTTGATTCTTAGGGTTTTAGCTAAACTATGGACTTGAACCAAACATTTATTCCACTCCAAATTTTCACTCTACACACCTGAAGCTAGGGATTTACTTTTTCCTGTCCCCTCAAAACCATGAAACTAGCGCCTCTTAATACTGTCGGGAACGCCCACGACGATTCGGTTTGGACTGCGGCGTGGGTTCCGGCCACCGAGGTCTCACCGCCGCTTCTCCTGACGGGATCCCTTGACGAGACTGTCCGTCTGTGGGACCCGGAAAGTCCCCAGAAGCTCCAGACTAACACCGGTCACTGCCTCGGCGTGGTCTCCGTGGCCGCCCACCCCTCTGGTAGAATCGCGGCCTCTGCCTCGATCGACAGCTTTATTAGGGTTTTTGATGTTGCCACAAATAATACCATTGCAACCCTCGAGGCTCCCCCCTCTGAAGTCTGGAAACTGCAGTTCAATCCCCAGGTATAAGTCAACTTACAGAAACACAACTTTGCATATATGTCACCATTATTCCGTGTGTAAATGGGCAAAAATTGGTGGAAAAAAAGATACATGTTACTATGATGAGATGCAATGAGGATTGGAAATTCATGAGAAAAGAAGTCAGTCTAGCAAATTACGGATATTAGGTGAATAAGTTTGTTTTGAAATGGGAAAGTGCTATGCAATTTTTTGCCTGAATTTATGTTTGCAAGCGCCCGTGCCTGTGGTAGGAGGGATAGCGCAAATGAATTTATCAATTATGGGTAATCTGTTTATGGGTTCATGTAGCTGGCATGCATGTGAAAGGAGCAAGAAATTTGTTGTTCCCTGTTAATTATTGGCTCTCTTGAAGTAAAAGTATCTTTTTTTTTTTTTTTTTTTAATTTTTTTTTTTTTTAATTAAAACGAAATTGGTAGGAGGGATAGCGCAAATGAATTTATCAATTATGGGTAATCTGTTTATGGGTTCATGTAGCTGGCATGCATGTGAAAGGAGCAAGAAATTTGTTGTTTCCCGTTTATTTTTGGTTTTCTTTAAATAAAAATATTTTTTTTTTTTTTTTTTTTTTAATCTTTTTGTTTTGTAAGTAAAACGAAATTGATTTGGTGAAGTGATTATATTAGTTTTGCCTCTTGTACTGTGCATCAGCAATCGAGTTAAGCTGTAAAAAATGGGAAGATTTTAGAGAAGGGTGAAAGTTGCAGAAATTGGACTAACACGTGGGTAAACAAGTGAGAATTCGTTTATTAACTCACGTATCTTTCTGGCTGGTTGTCTTCCTTCACTAATGGACTCTGTTACTACCAAATCAATTTCATATGCCCAGTTAATGGAGGACTTGAAGCACAGTGAGGCGCAGTAATGTATGTGGTTGTGAGGTTTCCATAGGTGCAGTGTATAAAGGCAATTTTCCATTGAACACCAGAAGTAGAGAAATTATCAGTTTCCCTCTCATTCTTAGCCTTTTCAAATTGACACAGGGAAAGTTGGGGCTTAGCTCATGGTATTAAACTTAGATTGTAATATTATGTAATGAGATGTTAAGTTTGCTAAAAAATTAGCTATAATTTTATGATATTGCCTATTGGCTTGTTAAATTGTTACGGTTTCTTAGCTTACTTGACCTCTATTTTTGAGTGATGATTTCTATTTTATAAGGGTCAGGAGTGAGCCTGAGTGTTGTGACTTGTGATGCACTAGTGAGGCAGTTCAGTGGATGATATTTTATGAAAATTTCTATTTTTTGTTGTTGCTTTTATGGGGCTCAAAATTAGAACTCCTTAGTTCAATGAACTTGAGCAGATTTTCTGAATCTCAGTCTGTAATTTGCTTAAAATCTTCAACCTGTATTCAACAGAAATCAATTCTCAGATCTCTTTCCTTTTGTTGAATTCAGTTTTATTATTCAGTATTACAATAAAGTTCTCGGCAACATAAGATTATAAGGTTGCAACAATTTGGACTATTTTTTTCGTTAGAGCTTTAAGACCCATTAACATGATGCAAACAGAGAATGTGAGGTGAAGATGCAAGTTCATGAAGAAAGGATTACAAAACTTTAAAAGATATTTGATGGATTAAAGTAACCAGTTCATGATTTACGGAAAATGTTATGAAGATATCTCTCATTGCATGAAATTTACCAAATAAACACTAAAATTTTGAAAAAAATAAATATTGAATTGTCTTAAGCTTAGTGCATCGTGACTTTGACAATATAACAGAAGGGCATACCATATTAGCTATGCTGGAGGATGTTTATTAGGAAACAGTCAAAACAAAATTTATAGTCCTCCAAATAAAAGAATTAAAGATGCAAAGATCAGTTTCAGGAGGGTGAAACAGTAAATACTGAATTATGGATATTCTTTGGGAGTCAGTGCATTCATCTCTAAACTGAAAACCATATGAGACAAAAGAGAGCTCACTCCTTGAGTTATTTTTATCTCCTGCCATGAGAGGTTCATTGACAATCTTCCATATGCTTCGCAGTCTAATTCACATTTTTTTTTTTTTTCCATTTCTTTCTGATCTTCATTTTCTCTCCATGTTCTCTCCTTTCTTGGTATTGGTTGCCAAAGTTTTCTAGAAGTTCAACTGGAAATCAAAATTGACATTAAAGTCACGATTATCAACTGTTAAATTTTATCTACATGGCATTTTTCTCTGAATCTTCTAAAGTCATGAAGTACTTGTTGGGCTGTACTTGACACCAGGTCATGGGATCATTTTTCAATTGTTGCAGTGATCACATACTCGCATTCAACCTGTATCTGAATTCAAGTAATGTGGTTTGCATGCCTATCATCTGTTGGTCTACGTAAAGTTTATGCCACAATGAATTTCTTTATGTGTTTATGATTTAGAATATGCATTTTTTTTTTTTTTTGTTGTTCACTATAAAGGTGGTAGGAGACACTTCTGTTCTTGAAAATTTGATATTATATTCTGGACTTGGAACTTCTACACAAACGCTAGAGATCTTCACTAATGTAGTTTTTTATGTGGAATGTGATGTTGGATGAATAAGAAAGAAAAAATAAGGAATGGGGAGGAGAAACAGAGAGAAGGGAGAAGAGGAGAAGAAACTAGGGGAAGAGAGGGGAGGGAGAAAACGGCTGCAAGCCAAACAATATTTCAATTCTAATTCATCATCGTCTCCTGAAATTACAACTGAAAACCATATAAATAGTAAAAACATAACCCTACCAGTGATGGGCTTGGGTCAAACCAATAATACAAGCCCAATAACTAGAAAAAGTAAAATAGTGCGATATTAATACAAGTGATGTCCGCATGAATTCTCTCGGGGTGGAAGAAAAACTCGACTCTGTCGAGTGAACAAATGACAGAGCTACCGTCAAACTTCAATGTTTGAACTCATACCACGGTGGACAATCTTTTTGAAGAACCAAATATCTGAACTCCACGGTTGATAACAATGCAAATGGCAACTTGTCCTCAAGAATATGATCCGACCAAGGCGGACGATCCCTCATTTTAATCAAGTACCGACATTGGACTCCAAATAACAAGTACTCCTGCAACTCATTTCCAAAATCTTCACATGATTGCGCATAATGTGAAGCACAATAAGAACGTTGATCTGCCCAACAATTAAAGAAGCACCGATTCTCTCTATCAATGGTTAACACAACCTGTTCATTTAAAATTACATCAATTTTATCTTTGTGTGTTGCGACAGGTGGTATTCGAATAGACATAGGAAAAGATTCGGTGTGGGAGTTCTCAGGTACAGATAGAAAATGATCAACAAAAGTGTTAAAATAGCCATTGTAAGTATCGAAGTCCTTAACAAATAAAATAGGGTGATGGTCATAATGTGATAAAAGATCATTGACATAGGCATTTTGACCAACATGTTTTGAAATTTTAAAAAGACCAGCATTACACGCTTGCAATATAACATAATCCCCAATATTAAATTCAAAGGGTTGTTTATGCCAATCAACTTGAGATTTATATAATGCTTTACTTGCTTCAAATTGTAGGAAGATACGGATATGGGCAAGGATTCCATGTGTGAAATCTTATGTGTGGATTGTCTTAAACTAATAGGATAAAATTGGGTAAAAGTCTTGAGTTGGAGGTTGATTTGATTGAATAAATGTATGATAAAGGGCATTGCACTAATCAAGGCATATATTTTGAAATTAAAAACTTCTCTCTAAAGCTTTTATGACTCGAGTAATTAAGCCTGCAAGGGTATCTTAAAACCTGATGCCCTAAAGTCATCTGACTTGGGAGTCATCGGCCTAAAGCTCGTTACAGGGGTTATTTAGAAAGCAATCAGGGATGAAGTTGCACTTGAAAAAAAAAAATAAAAATTTGTTCTCTTCGAAGCCTTTTTGACTCGGGTGATTAAGTCTGTAAGGGTGTCTTAAAACCTGATGCTCTAAAGTCATCTGACTTGGAAGTCATCGTCCTAAAGCCTGCTACATGGGTCATCTAGAAAGCTTAATGGAGAGAGAAAAAAAAACTCTTAAAAATCAGAAAAAGCAAGTGCATGAAAAAAGCAAAAGCACTAATTGCCTTGTTAAGTCCGAGCACTTATTCGAGAAAATTTGACTTTTCAATGAAGGATAATTAGCCTAGTTGAGTCCTAGCGGTTGAAGCAATCAATTAATTGAGAATCTTTGTTCATTGATGTATTAACTTGCAACTAGTGACGTCCACCTGAACTAGAGAGAGTAATGATAGTAATGAAAAATTCAACCTTAGATCACCTGCTGGGAATTGAGTGAAAATAATAAAGTTGGGGCTGTGTGAATCTTACGAGAGATGAAAGAATATATTTGACCATAGAGGGTCGGGAATTAAAACAACTTGTGAAGTCATTAGTGTCTACTTAATTTTTCACACACACACGTCGATTTTGCATTGGAAGAGTGAAAATTGGTTTGGTATTGCAACTTTGAAGCAGTTTATAGATTTAATTCGGTGATCTCAAATGCTGTGGTAAAAAGTTAAACTGTCCAACCAAATAATTTTTGCATGCTTGTATGTTTGTTTACTTAGATTTCAGTTTTGTTTGAGGACAAACAAAGATTCAAGTTTGGGGGTTTGATAAGTGTATTTTCTACACTTATTCGGGGCTCTAAACTATATAATTTTATTGTCTTTTGGCAAAATATGATATAAATTTTATTGTATTAATTTTCTTAGGTAAAACTCGTGCTTGGACGAAGAAGGAAGGGAAAGAAGCAAAAAAATTGGCGAAAAGTGACAGAATCCAAAAAAAATGGGGATTAAATTGGCCATTGATGGAAGTTGGAGGCCAAGGCATACAAGTCAAAAAGTGGAGGATTTGAGATGCAATTATTCAGGGACCAAAGCTGAAAATTTTCCTAGGTTTTACTATTAAAAACCATGCAAATCCTTGGAGAAGAAGGAGAGGCCGAGAGAAAGAAAAAAAGAGAAAAACGGCTGCTGATGACTAATATACATACAAACCTACAGCAAGAAGAGAAATTGGCTGCTGGGATACATACATAAACTTGGGCAGCGGCTGATACACATCACACGGCTGAGGGAGGAGAGTTTACCTAGAGAAACTACTACAGCCGGAGGAAAAAAAAACCTAGAGGGTGGGAAGAAGAGAGACGGCTGGAAGGGAGGAAAAACAGAAAGAAAACTGCCTGGTTGTGAATTAAAACAAGTTGCTAAATTTACCAATTCATACACTAGGTTGGTGGCTGCAACTTTGGAGATACAAATCACGCAATTTGGCGGCGAACTAGGGGGGAGCCGTGGAGGAAAATTAGAATAGCTTTTTGGGGATTATTGAAGTCGGCTGCAACAGATTGAAGGGGCCGAAACTTGAGTGGCGAAATTTCATAAAGTTGGCCAGCTTTGGGATTAATAATTCGGCCAGCTGCTGGTAGAGAAATTGGTGGGCTGCAAAGTGACTTATATACATATATACTTCCCACAAAACGCAGCTGCTGGGAAGGAATTTTATTTTACACAAATACACGCCCACAGATTGAGAAAACGGTTGGGAATAAATTACAAACCCACACAAAAAAACCATATAAAAGGAGGGCTATTTCTGCTGTAATATATATACATACGTGCATATTGGCAGCTGGTGGGAATTGGGAAAAAAATAAACTACAAATTGGTGGTTGGCAGAAGGCTTTTGAAAAAGCAGAATTGTTACACATGTATACAGTCGGCAATTGAATTGGACAGCAGCTTCAAGGATAAATTGGAGTCAAACACTACGGC